CACACGGAAGCCCCACATCCATCAGTAGCAACCCCCGCTAGCCCCAGCATGCTGTTTCCTGTCTCTGTGGGTTTGACTTCTCCCGGGAGCTCCTACTATAAGTGGAATCACAGCGTTTGTCCCTTGTGCCTGGCTTTTTCATGGAGCATGAGGTCTTCAGGGTTCATCCATGTGGCAGCATGTGACAGGATTTCCTTCCTTCCTTTTTTTTTTTGAGACAGAATTTCGTTCTTGTTGCCCAGGCTGGAATGCAATGGCACGATCTCGGCTAACTGTAACGTTTGCCTCCTGGATTCAACCGATTCTCCTGCCTCAACCTCCTGAGCAGCTGGAATTACAGGCATGTGCCACCACGCCTGGCTAATTTTGTATTTTTAGTAGAGTTGGGGTTTTGCCATGTTGGTGAGGCTTGGTCTTGAACTCCCAACCTCAGGTGATCCACCCACCTCAGCCTCCCAAAGTGCCGGGATTACAAGCTTGAGCCACTGTGCCCAGGTGATTTCCTTCCTTTTTCCAGGCGGAGTAACACTCCATTGTATGGACAGACCTCAGTTTCTTTCTGCATTCACCTGTTGATGGACATTGAGCTTGCTTCCACCTCTTGGCTATTGTTTGTTTGTTTTCAGACAGAGTCTGGCTCTGTTGCCCAGGCTGAAGTGCAGTGGCAGAGTCTTGGCTCACCGTAGCCTCTGCCTTCTGGGTTTAAGTGATTTCTGGCTCATTTTTGTAGTTTTGGTAGAGACAAGGTTTTACCTTCTTGGCCAAGATGGTCTCCAATTCCTGACCTCCAGTGATCCACCCTCCTCAGCCTCCTAAAGTGCTAGGATCACAGGTATGAGCCACCACACCTGGCCTTGGCTATTGTTTTTTTAACAACTTTTTTTTAGACAGGGGTTTCACTTTGTCACCAGGTGGAGTGCAGCAATGCATCATAGCTCACCGCAGCTTCTAACTCCTGGGCTCAAGTGATCCTCCCACCTTGTCCTCCCAAAGTGCTGGGATTACAGGCAAGAGCACTGTGCCCAGCCTTAACATTTTAAATTGAGGTATAACTTAGAGTGAACACATTTTTTTTTTTTTTTTGAGGCAGAGTCTTTCACTGTTGCTCAGGCTGGAGTGCAGTGGCAAGATCTCAGCTCACTGCAACCTCTGCCTCCCAGGCTCAAGTGATTGTCCTGCCTCAGCCTCCAGAGTAGCTGGGATTACAGGCGCTCACCACCATACCTGGCTGATTTTTTGTATTTTTAGTAGAGACAGGGTTTCACTATGTTGGCCAGGCTGGTCTCGAACTCCTGACCATGATTCGCCCACCTCAGCCTCCCAAAGTACTGGGATTACAGGCGTGAGCCACCATGCCCGGCCCAAACTGACCACATTTTGAGTGTATGGTTCTCTGAATTTTTGCATGTATATTCGGGTCAGGATAGAGAATAGTTCACCTCAGACGGCACCTTCTTGTCCCTTCCTAGGCAAAACTTCACAAGATCACCCTGACTCTGATCTCTGTCTCCAGAGCTTAATTCAGGCTTGTTTTGAGCTGCATATACATGGAATCATACAGTGTTTGGTTTTTGGAAATTGAGAACTCATAAGAGTCACCCTTTTAAATGTGGACCCATCAGTGAGTGGGCTTTTTGCTTTTGTGAGACAGGGTCTCTCTGCTGCCCAGGCTGAAGAGCAGTGGCACAATCGTAGCTTACTGTACCTCGAGCTCCCCAACTCAGGTGATCCTCCCATCTCATCTTCCCAAGTAGCTGGGACTATAGGCACAGGCCACTATGCCAGCTAATTTTTGTGTTTTTAGTAGAGACAGGGTTTCACCATGTTGGCCAGGCTGGTCTCGAACTCCTGACCTCAAGTTATCTGCCCACCTTGGCCTCCCAAAGTGCTGGGATTACAGGCATGAGCCACCGTGCCTGGTCCTACTCAGTGGTTTCACAAAGTTGTGTGAAACCAGCCTGGGCAACAGAGGGAGACTCTGTCTCAAAATAGACAAACAAAAATCAGCTATTCACAAAGTTGTGTAACTATTGCTACTGTCTGGTTTTTGGAAATTTTTGTCATCCGGGAAACAAACCCCTTATTCCCCCCAGCCCTAGGCAACCGCTGGTCTTTCTGCCTCTGTGGACTGACCTATTCTGGACATTTTATATGGATGGAGTCGCACAACATTCGTCCTTTTGTGCCTGGCCTTCACTTAGCGTCATGTTTTCAAGCTTTATTCATGTAGCGTGAATCAATGCTTCATTCCTTGTTATGGCTAAATAATATTCCATTGTAAAAATGTATCACAGCTGGGCACAGTGGCTCACGCCTGTAATCCCAGCACTTTGGGAAGCTGAGGTGGGCAGATCACTTGAGGTCAGGTGTTTGAGACCGGCCTGGCCAACATGGTGAAACCCTGTCTCTACTAAAAACACAAAAATTAGCCGGGGTGGTGGCACATGCCTGTAGTCCCAGCACTCAGTAGGCTGTGTCAGGAGAACCGCATGAACCCAGGAGGTGGAGGTTGCAATGAATGGAGATCGCACCACTGCACTCCAGCCTGGGCCACAGAGTAAGGCTATGTCTCAAGAAAAAAAAAAGGTGTTGGGGGGCTGGGCACAGTGGCTCATGTGCCCAGCACTTTGGGGGGCTGAGGCAGGCCAATCATGAGGTCAAGACATTGAGACCATCCTGGCCAACATGGTGAAACCCCATCTCTACTAAAAATACAAAAAAAAAAAAAAAAAACTAGCTGGGTGTGGTGGTGCATGCCTGTAATTCCAGCTACTTGGGAGGCTGAGGCAGGGGAATCACTTGAACCCAAGGGGTAGAGGTTGCAGTGAGCGGAGATCACGCCACTTCACTCCAGCCTGGAGACAGAGCAAAACTGTCTCAAAAAAAAAAAGATGTATCACATTTTGTGTATCCATTCATCTGTTGAGGGCCATTTGGGTTGTTTCCCCTTTTGGCTATTACACATAAAGCAGTGGTGAATGTTGGTGTACAGGTGTTTATGTGTACATGTGATTTCTGTTCTTTGGGGTCTGCACCTAGAGTAGAATTGCTGGGTTCAGAGGTAACTGTGTGTTTAACCTCCACACTGTCTTCCACAGCAGCTGTGCCATTTTATTTTATTTTTTGAGACAGTCTTGCTCTGTTGCCTAGGCTGGACTGCAGTGGTAAGATCCTGGCTCACTGCAACCTCTGTCTCCCAGGCTGAAGCAATTCTTATGCCTCAACCTTCTGAGTAGCTGGGATTATAGGCGTGTGCCACCATGCACGGCTAATTTTTGTGTTTTTAGTAGAGTCGGGGTTTCACCATGTTGGTCAGGCTGGTCTTGAACTCCTGACCAAGTGATCCACCCACCTTGTCCTCCCAAAGTGCTGGGATTACAGGCGTGAGCCACTGTGCCCAGCCTACCTATATCATTTTACATTTCCACCAGCAGTATATAAGGGTTCTAATTTCTCCAAATTCTCACAAACACTTGTTATTATCTGCCCTTTAAGACAGGGTCTCATTCTGTCGCCCAGGCTGGAATGCAGTGGCACAATCATAGCTCACACAGCCTCAAACTCCTGGGCTAAAGTGATCCTCTTGCCTCAGCCTTCTGAGTAGCTGGGACTACCCAATTAGTATTTTCAATTTTTTTTGTAGAAATAGGGTCTCCCTATGTTGCCCTAGCTGGTCTTGAACTCCTGGGCTCAAACAGTCTTCCTGTCTTGGCCTCCCAAAGTACTGGGATTATAGGCATATACCACTGTGCCTGGCCCCAGTCTTTCAAATAGCCACACAGTGTAGGTTGTACTGTGGTTAATTTTACCATCCTCCTCCTGAGCCATGTGGGCACACCTACCTGTTGAAGACCCCCCGCCCCAAGATACATTTAGAGTGTGTGTGAGCTTTAGCGGGTAATGCTGAAGGAATTTCCACAGTAGCACACCCAGCAGCAAGGCACACGTCTTCCAGCTGCCCCACCTTCTCGCCAGCACTTGGTGGTGTCAGTCTTTCTCATTTTAGCCATTCTGGTGGCTAAATGGATTTCTGCCCTATCTTTCCATCACTGCCCGCTCACCCCAGCCAGGGCTGGTGTCTGTGAGGTCTTAGGGCTTATATGCAGCTCTCTGCCTCAGAGCTGAGCAGGACCCAGCAGGTACAAGAAGGAACCCAAGTGGTTATTCAGCTTCAAGGGCTGCACTCATGCCCCCCAAGGCCACTGGAGGGAGGATGTATCGTCCAGTGTCATGGCCTGTGTAACTTTCTGCTGTATGTACTTTACATGAACAACATCATCAGAAAGGCGAAGAATGGAACTGTAACATTCACATACCCATTTTGCAGATGAGTGAATAAAGGCTCAGAGAGGTGAGCGTCACTTCAGAAGTCATAAGCCATGAGCCACGATGGTACCAGGTGTGGAGCTCAGCTTTCTGTACTGCTCTCCAGGGCCTCCCAGTGCCTCGGGGCCCTGTCCACATTTCCCATAATTCCCTGCACTGCAGGTTCTTTCCCTCCAGCCATGTCTACAGAGGACCCGCTCCTGCTGGAAGTTTGGAAGTCTGTCCTCTCTGGCTCCGCCTTCCTGGTCTCCTCTGCTTAATAGTCCTGCTCTGCACAGCCCCTACATGTTGAGAACCTGAGGCTCCTGTTGTCCCTGCAGGGGATAATCCAACCCCAGCCTTAAGGCACCGTGTGTCCTGGGCTTGTCCTAGCTCATGCGTGCGTCACCCCCCACGGCCTCTGCGCCTCAGCCCGCATTGCCCTCAGCCCCCAAGCAGCCCCTCCCGCAGGGCCTTTGCACTCGCTGCCGCCTGCACTGTGCTGTCCTCACCACCAGGCCTCCCTTTGCAGCCACCGGTCTCAGTGGGTCTCATGACCCTGCTCTGAGAGACCTGCCCTGCACCCATGGTCTGCGTGGGGTCTCCCTGGTCACTTGTTCTTAGCGCCATCACATCTGTCGCGGCGTTCGTCCTGGTCTGGAATGACACGAGCCTGTCTGACATCTATAAACCAGTGAGAGCAGAATCAGGTTTCATTTATTCACCAACCTCATGACTAGTTCGGTGTCACGTACACTGCAGCTGCTCAGTAAACCCTTGATGGCCAGGTGTGGTGGCTGATGCCTGTCATCAGGGCCCTTTGGGAGGCCTAGGTGGAAAGATCGCTTGAGCCCAGATGCGATCAGCCTGGGCAACATGGCAAGACCTTGTCGCTACAAAGAAAGATTTGAAAATGAGCCAGGTGTGGTGGTGCGTCCTTGTAATTCCAGATACTCAGAGGCTGAGGTGGGAGGATCACTTATGCCTAGGAGGTGAGAGGTTGCAGTGGGCTGTGATCCTGCCACTGCACTCCAGACTGGGTGACAGAGTGAGACCATGGCTAAAAAAAAAAAAGAAAAGCAAGAACTTGATGGCCAGGCACAGTGTCCCACACCTATAATCCTACAGCTTTGTGGGACCCAGATGGGAAGATTGCTTGAGGCCAGGAGTTTGAGACCAGCCTGAGTAACACAGTGAGATTTTTTTTTAATTTGAAATTAGCCAGGTGTGGTGGTGTATGCCAGTGGTCCCAGGCCCGGGGGGGCTGAGATGGCTGAGATGGCCTCAAGCCCGGGTGGTTGAGGCTGCAGTGAGCTGTGATCGTGCTACTGCACTTCAGCCTGGGTGACAGAGTGAGACCCTGCTCTAAACAGACAGGCGGGGAGCAGTGGCTCACGCCTGTAATCCCAGCACTTTGAGAGGCCAAGTCAGGCAGATCACAGAGGTTGGGAGTTCAAGACCAGCCTAGCCAACATGGTGAAACCCTCTCTCTCCTACAAATACAAAAATTAGCCAGGTGTGATGGCACATGCCTGTAGTCCCAGCTACTCAGGAGGCTGAGGCAGGAGAATTGCTTGAACCCAGAAGGCAGAGGTTGCAGTGAGCCGAGATCGCACCACTGCACTCTAGCCTGGGCACCAACGTGAGACTCTGTCTCAAAAAAACAAAAAACAAAACTTGATAGATGAACATTCTTGCAGGGGTACATGTGTGTGAACACATGCAAAAATATGTGAGGGCATCCCCAGAAGGTAGCCCTGTCTGGGAGAAAGTGGGGACTAGAGTCTGCCCTGTGGTGACACATTCTGGTGACCTTAAGGGAGCCTTCTGCATCTCATGCCCTGGTGGCAAGGCAGCTTGGGGTCGCGGAGAAGACATGGGATCTGGAGTCAGAAAACTGGGTTTGAGTTCTTGGCTGTAAGACTTTGAAAAAAAAAAAAATCTCTCTAGACCTCAGTTTTTCATATCTGTAAAATGGGACTGATGTCATAAACAACAGTAATGATAATAAGACCCCTTTCCAGTGGTCGGGAATGAGAATGAAATAGGGTCCAGGGTGTAAAGCTGTGTGTCCTTTCTGGGCTTGTCAGCAGTACATTGCACTTTGGGATTGCGGAAGAACCGTCCCTGTTCCATCGGCCAGCCTCGGGCGTCTGCATGCGTGGGGCCCTGGAACACAGAGACGAATGAGACAGGTTGATGCCTCCAGCGGGACGATCATAATCCCAAGCTCTTCAAGCTCAGGACCCAGGCCTTACCTGGGTTTGTGGCCCTGGCAGCATCACCTGCTGTTCTGGAAACACACCGGGGATGCTTGTTCCTGGTGGTGACCACCGGGGCAAGAGGGGAAGTCAGCGGCAAGGACTCCGATGTGACGGAGGAGCCTGGGGGAAATTCATGCTGGGAAGATAACTGAAGGGTCACCTCTGTGCCTTCTCCTCATGGGGTTAGATCTGGCTGCATGTCCTGAGTCCCAGGGGGCTAAGAAGGGATGTTTCCCCCTCATTCACCTGGGATTGAACCTGGCCACTGTAGCCCAGCCCAGGTTTCAGGGAGCAGGGGTGCACCGGCAGCCCCAGAACCTGTGGAAGGCTAAATAATGCCCCCAAAATATCAGGTCCCAGTTCCTAGAACCTGTAGATATCACCTGATGTGGTAACATCTTTGCAGGTGTGTTATTTCGTTCTGGATCTTGACATGGGGGTGTTATCCTGGCTTACCTGGGTGGGCCCTGAATATAGTCACAGGTGTCCTTGTAAGGTGGAGGCAGGGAGAGCTTTGGCACTGACAGAAGAGGAGAAGTCCACGTGACCACGGAGGCAGAGACTGGAGTGGTGCCGCCGCAAGCTGAGGAGTGTTAGCAGCCACCAGAAGCTGAAAGAGGGAAGGGATGAAATCTCCCTGGGCTGGGCGTGGTGGCTCACACCTATAATTCCAGTGCTTTGGGAAGATGAGGTGGGTGAATCGCTTGAGGTCAGGAGTTTGAGACCACCCTGGTCAACATTGTGAAACCCCACTCTACTAAAAATACAAAAAAATTAGCCACGTTGTAGTAGGTACCTGTAATCCCAGCTACTTGGGAGGCTGAGGAATTAGAATCACTTGAACCTGGAGACAGAAATTGTAGTGAGCCAAGATCATGCCAATGCACTTCAGCCTGGGCAAGAGAGTGAGACTCCATCTCAAAAAAAAAAAAGCTGGGTGCAAAGCTCACACATGTAATCCCAGCACTTTGAGATGCCAAGGTGGGCAGATCACCTGAGGTCAGGAGTTTGAGACCAGCCTGGCCAACATGGCAAAACCTCATCTCTACTAAAAATACAAAAAAAAGTTAGCTGGGCATGGTGGTGCGTGCCTGTAATCCCAGCTCCTTGGGAGGCTGAGGCAGGAGAGTCACTGGAACCCAGGAAGCAGAGGCCGCGGTGACCCGAGATCGCACCACTGCACTCCTGCCTGGGTGACACAGTGAGAAAAGAAAAAAAATCTTCCTTAGAGGCTCCAGAGGAAGTGTGGCCCCGGCAGCACCTTAATTTCAGGCTCATTTGAACCTTCTGGCTTCTAGAACTATGAGAAAATCAATTTCCGACGTGTTAAGATAGTGAAATTATTGATCATTTATTATGGCAGGTGCAGGAAGCTGATACAGTACCCGTCCTCACAGGTCATTAATTCACCAGTAACGTGACGGGCACCTGCAGTGTGCCAAGGCATCGCATGAGACTCAGGGAATGTAACAGTGAGTAGGGCAGACAGTGCTTTGCCGACAGTCTATTTGGGGGTAGGGACGGGGGGTGGACCTTGGCCGCCTGTGGGGTGCCAGGCGCCATCGTCAGGGCTCTGTGTGTATGGACTGTGAAAGTTGTCTGAATCAAAATGGGGTCACCAGTGTTACCAAAAACCCTGACAAATAGAACCCGGGAAGGCCATGAAGAGAGGGTTTTCCTTTTTTTTTTTTTTTTTTTGAGATGGAGTTTTGCTCGTTACCCAGGCTGGAGTGCAATGACACGCTCTTGGCTCACCGTAACCTCCGCCTCCTGGGATCAGGCAATTTTCCTGCCTCAGCCTCCCAAGTTGCTGGGATTACAGGCATGCACCACCATGCCCAGCTAATTTTTTGTATTTTTAGTAGAGACGGGGTTTCACCATGTTGACCAGGATGGTCTCGATCTCTTGACCTCGTGGTCCATCCACCTTGGCTTCCCAAAGTGCTGGGATTACAGGCTTGAGCCACCACGCCCGGCCGAAGAGAGGGTTTTCACGCTTGCATGGCCGATGACAAACATGACTGGAAAAACCACAGCTTTGCACGAAGGCCTTCGCAACCTCACACAAAAAAGACTCCTCCTAGGATGCCTCCCGGCAGCAGCCCGCCCAGCGTCAGACTCAGCCACCCTTGTTACTGATCTTTGTAGCCAAGGATAATTATTAATATTTCAAAACAATTATGTAACCCTCCTCATTATTTTCCTTTAATCTTTGTCTTCCTTTATCTCCCTGAATACACAGACACTTTACTATGCTATGCAGATTCCCATTGCAATGCTCTACTACCAAATAGCTTTTCCGTGTGTGTGTGTGTGTGTGTGTGTGTGTGTGTGTGTGTGTGTGTTTAAGCAGAGTCTCGCTCTGTCACCCAGGCTGGAGTACAATGGTGCGATCTTGGCTCACTGCAACCTCCGCCTTCTGGTTTCAAGCAATTCTCCTGCGTCAGCCTCCTGAGTAACTGGGACTATAGGTGCCCGCCACCACGCCCGGCTAACTTTTGTATTTTTTTTTTTTTTTAGTAGAAACGAGGTTTCACCATATTGGCCAGGCTGGTCTCGAACCCCTAATCTACCTACCTCAGGCTCCCAAAGTGCTGGGATTACAGGTGTGAGCCACTGTACCTGGGCATAGTGGCTCACACCTGTAATCCAAGCACTTTGGAGGCCATGGCAGGCAGATCACCTGAGGTCGGGAGTTCAAGACCAGCCTGACCAACATGGTGAAACCCTGTTTAAAAAAAAAAAAAAATTAAAACAAAAAAAGTCTTTTTGTAGAGACAGGGTCTTGCTATGTTGCCCAGGCTGCACTCAGACTCCTAGCCTCAAGTGATCCTCCTGCCTTAGCCTCCCAAAGCATTGGCATTACAGGCGTGAGCCAACATGTCTGGCCATCTCTTATTTTATTTTTAAAATTTATTTATTTATTTATTTATTAGACAGAGTCTCTTGTTGCCCAGGCTGGAGTGCAATGGCGCAATCTTGGCTCGTGGCAACCTCCACCTCCTGGGTTCAAGCGATTCTCCTGCCTCAGCCTCCCAAGTAGCTGGAATTACAGGCGCCTCCTACCTCACACCAGCTAATTTTTTTGTATTTTTAGTAAAGATGAGGTTTCACCACGTTGGTCAGGCTGGTCTTGAAGTCCTGACCTCAGGTAATCTGCCTGCCTCTGTCCCAAAGTGCTGGGATTATAGGTGTGAGCCACCACACCTGGCCCATCTCTTATTTTAGAGAAACTGTATCTGTTTGTTTTTAGGTTGACATAATCAGTCCTCACAACAGCCCTATGAGTTGTAGGTGCTGTTACCACCCTACTTTATAGATGTGGAAACTGAGGCACAGAGAAGCTAGCTCAAAACCAAACAACTGATAAATAGGAGAGCCAGTATCTGAGCTCAAGCCACCCTGTGAATCACTGTGCAGGGTCATCTTTCATCAGATGAAAGAATGTAAGGCACATCGGAACTGTAAAAAGTACCATAAAGGTAATTCATGGTAGGTCAGGGATGGAGAGAAACGAATGGGGTGGGGGGGAGGTGGGCGCTCTCATTGGGTAGTCAGAGGAAGGGAGGCCTCTGTGAAGAGGTGACATTCGGGCTGAAAAATGAGGTGCGCCAGCCATGGGGAGGTGAGAAGGAAGGGGCTTTTGGGCAAGGGAGAGGCCTCACGGTGGCAGTGATCTTGCGGGGAATCAAGGATAGAAAGCAGGCACTGGGGAGGGGGAAGGGAGTTAGTGGAGGGTGTAGAGGATGAGGCTGGGGAGGAGACTGGGGGCCACCAAGACCTCAGTTTCATCCTCAGCAGAAGCAGTGGATGATTTCAGCAGAGGAGTAAGGTGGGCTCACCTGCCCATCTCACTTGCCCACCCAGGCATGTCAGAGCGGGAGCGGCAGGTGATGAAGAAGCTGAAGGAGGTGGTGGACAAACAACGTGACGAGATCCGCGCCAAGGACAGGGAGCTCGGCCTGAAAAATGAGGACGTGGAGGCTGTGAGTGACACACCCCTGACCTGTGTCCACCCTCCCAGCCAGTAGGTGCCAGCCAGAGACCAGATCCTCCACTCAGCAGGCCCCTTGTCTCCCTCGCTCTCATTCTTGGGGCTCCGTGGGGTAGGGATCCTGCCCACGGCGTGACGGGCCCAGCCTGGAAACAGCCAGTCTTCACAGCAGAGCAGGAGGGAACGTGGCACTGCCCGGTGAGCAGCCTCCTTCCGCCTACCGGGAAGGTCCCGAGGCCCCAGCAGCCTTTGCCTTGACCCCAAGGCCTCCTCCAGGCCCCCCACTCCACTTCATGCTCCTCTGTGAGCAGACTTAGCAGGGCCCAGCATACTCCAGGAACCCATACAGTGTCTCTGTGTAAATTAGAAAAAAAAAATGCCCCTTTCTAAAGGCACGTTATTTCCATCTGTTGGCAAATTTTCATAATGTATTAATTCTAGCCAGACGCCCTTCCATTTGCCATGAAATTACCATAGTAAATACGCAAATTGCCCGGCTCTGGCATCATCAGTTATAAGAATATGAACAACTCTTGTTTCCTATGATCCGTGTTAGAGGAATTACAGAAAAAAAAGGAAAAAGAATTTTAAAAAAAAGAATATGAACAACGCGACAAAGATGTCTGCAGTATAAATGGCACACCTGTGGATGGTTTGCCCTTGTGCAGTGCACAGCCTGAGCTGCTGCAGGTGGCAGCCCTGCACGGTGGTCTCCCTTTCTCCACAGTTACAGCAGCAGCAGACGCGGCTGATGAAGATCAACCATGACCTTCGGCACCGGGTCACGGTGGTGGAGGCCCAGGGGAAAGCCCTGATCGAACAGAAGGTGGAGCTGGAGGCAGACCTGCAAACCAAGGAGCAAGAGATGGGCAGCCTGCGGGCAGAGCTGGGGAAGCTGCGAGAGAGGCTGCAGGGGGAGCACGGCCAGAACGGGGAGGAGCCTGAGGTGAGCAGGAAGCTGGGTGCAGAGGTGGTAGTAGAAGGTAAGTCTGGGGTTAACTCGAGGCAGGCAGGGTTGCCTTGCATTCCCCATTATACTTAAGAAAAATTACCAGCCTGGGCAACATAACAAGACCCCAATTCTCTACAAAAAAAAAATTTTAATTAGCCGTGAGTGGTGGTGCACACCTGTAGTACCAGCTGCCTGGGAGGCTTAGGCAGGAGGATACCTTGAGCCCAGGAGTTCAAGGCTGCAGTAAGCCATGATTGCACCACTGCACTCCAACCTGGGTAACAGAGCCAGACCTGTTTCAAAAAAAAAAAGAGAGAGAGAAAATGAGAGGCTCAGGCCTGAAGACACACGGCTGAGGGGCTGGAACCCCAGACTCCCAGCATTCTCCCAGCTCAGTGATGGTTATTAGGTACCTGCCATCTGTTTATCCATTCATACCAATGATTGTTGACTATGTGGCCAGCCCAGAAGATAAAATGCCGACCTGATCCCTGTCCACATGGAGCTTACAGTTTAGTCTGGGAGGCAGACATCAGTTAGTCCAGACCTTAGGCAGTAGTCACGTAGGACCACATGACGCAGCAGTTCCCCTCCCAGGCATATATCCAAAAGAATTGAGAGCAGGTGTTCAAACAAAAATTTTGACATGAAGGTGCAGTGACCTGTACTTAAAATCCCAGCCCTTTGGGAGGCTGAGGCATGAGGATGAAGATCGCTGGAGGCCAGGACCTCGAGACCAGCTTGGGCAACATAGTGACACCCCATCTCTACAAAAAATTCTTTAAAAATTAAAAACTTGGGCCGGGTATGGTGACTCATACCTTTAAATCCCAGCACTTTGGTAGGCTGAGGTGGGCAGATCACTTGAGGTCAGGAGTTCAAGACCAGCCTGGCCAACATGGTAAAACCCTATCTCTACTAAAAAAAAAAAAAAATTAATACAAAAATTAGCTGGGTGCGGTGGTGGGTGCCTGTAGTCCCAGCTGGTTGGAAGGCTGAGGCAGGAGAATTGCTTGAACCTGGGAGGCGGAGGTTGCAGTGAGCTGAGATGGTGCCATTGCACTCCAGCCTGGGCAACAGAGTGAGTGAGACTCCATCTCAAAAAAAAAAAAAAAAATTAAAAACTTAGGTGTGGTGGCACAAGCCTGTAGTCCCAGTTACTTGGGAGGATGAGGCAGGAGGATCACTTGAGCCGAGGAGTTCAGGGCTTTAGTGAGCCATGACCGAGCCAACTGCCCTCCAGCCAGGGCAGCAGAGTGAGACCCTGTAGCAGCACTATTCACAGTCGCCAAAAGGTGGAAACAGCCCACGTGTCATCAGTGGGTGAGCGGGTGAACAGTAGTCTGTCCGCACAGTGGAATGTGATTCAGCCCTAGAGAGGAATGCAGCCCTGGCCCCCCGCCAGCACGGACGAGCTGTGAAACATGCGGAGCGAAAGGAGCCAGGCCCAAAGGCCACGCAGTGTGTGCCTCCATTTGTACACATTGTCCCCAGACAGGCAAATCCATAGGGCCACACAGTAGATTGGTGTCCGAATGGGGCTGGGGGGAGGGAGGAATGGGGTGACTGCTGACGGGTGTGGAGTTTCCTTTGGGGCCATGGAAATGAGCCGGAATTAGACAGTGGCTGTGGCTGTACAACACTGAATGTGCCGTCCGCCGGGCCGGAGCTGTCCATCGTGGCCGCAGCTAAGATCCAGGCAGGCCCGGGGCTGTGAGGTGGGCACTGGGGGGTCTGTTCCATAAATGTGCCCCCAGACTGTGCCAGGAACACAGACAGTGAGATCGTTCATCCTGACAGAGGTGGGGATGCGGGCTTTCTGGGAAGAGCTGTTGGTTAAGCCGGGCGTCGGTGTTAACAGTGCGAAGACTTTGACAGATGGAAATGTGGAAAATGGAGTGGCAGTTTCAGAAAAGTAGAGTGAACTTTAGGGACCCCCTCGGGCTGCTTTTTCTCCCAGCAGATGTTAGGAACTCTTGAAGGTTTGCAGATGCTGGGTTAGTAAACTGAGTTACAGGTAGGGGAGGTGGGACAGACAAGCTCGCAGTCAGGTGGGTTCAGGTCCCAGCAGTCATTAAGTGTCCTGTGAATTTGGTTAGTCACTTCCAGGCTTTCTGTAGGACAGGCATCTGGGACACAGAGGAGGAAGGTCAGGGAGAAGTCTTAAAAAGAGCAGTTGCCGGACACGGTGGCGCACACCTGTAATCCCAGCACTTTGGGAGGCCGAGGTGGGCGGATCACCTGAGTTCAGGAGGTTGAGACCTGCCTGGCTAATATGGAGAAACCCCGTCTCTATTAAAAATACAAAAAAGTAGTCCGACGTGGTGGCATGTGCCTGTAATCCCAGCTACTCTGGGGACTGGGACAGGAGAATCGCTTGAACCTGGCAGGCAGAGGTTGCAATGAGCCGAGATCACACCACTGGACTCCAGCCTGGGCATCAGAGGGAGGCTTCATCTCAAAAAAAAGGGTGGGGAGCAGTTAGGAACTGCTTTGGGCTAAAAATGACAGAAGCCTAAATTAAGATGGTTTAAAAGGGGCCGGATGCAGTGGCTTATGCCTGTAATCCCAGCACTTTGGGAGGCTGAGGCTGTAGTTGGAGACCAGCCTGGCCAACATGGCAAAACCCTGTCTGTATTAAAAATACAAAAATTAGCCAGGCATGGTGATGTGGGCCTGTAATCTCAGCTACTCAGAAGGCTGAGGCAGGAGAATTCCTTGAACCCTGGAGGAAGAGGTTGCCATTAGCTGAGATCGCACCACCGCACTCCAGCCTGGGTGACAGAGTGAGACTGTGTCTCAAAAAAAAAAAAAAAAAGTTTAAGAGAGAAAAGAGGAATTTATTGACTATGTAACTAAAAGGTCTGAGTTAGGAGTGGCTTCAGGTACAGCTGGCTCCAGGTGCTCACAAGCTGCTCTCAGGAATGTGTCTCCAACCTTCTCAGGCCCTGCTTTCCTCTGTGCTGTTGCGATTCTCAGCCAGGCTTTTGCCATACAGTTGCCACTAGAATTTGACCAGCATGGCAACCCCAGTGGAAAGAAATGGCCTCTTTCTCTAGAGTCCCAGCAAAAGCCTCAGGGAATCCTCATTGGCCCATCAGTGTATGAACTGCTGTGGCCAGAGACCTGGAATGTGCATGTTTATTCTTGAGTTACATGGCTGCAACCCATGCTACATGGACTGAAAGTGGGAGGACGGTCTTTCTCCAGAGAAGGGCGGTGGCTTAGGCCAAAGACCTGAGGGGAGGATAAAGGCCAGGCAGAGACAACAGCTGTTGTCTCCAAGACTGGGGAGTCGGCACCGAGGGACCACACTGAGCTCTGAGCAGTGGGGTGTGGGTCCCTCGCAGGGGTTCAGCGGGCACACGATAACGCTCAGCTCTTTCACTGGAGGACAGGGAAGGAGCTCATGGCAGACATGGTCATCAGGAGCCCTTTGCAATAACCCAGAAGAGAAGGTGAGGGCTGAACTCAATCCATGGCAGGGAATGGAGGCGAGGAGGTACCAAAGACATAACCTCCAGGCTGAGCGCAGGGTGGTCACCACTTCTACCTGCCCCCACTCCTTGCTCCCAGTGTGCCCTTTCCAACCTTCAAGCCCTGGGAGGGCTTAGGCCTGTCTCCTGGCCAGGCAGGGCCTGGTCCAAACCCGGGTCTCAAGAACGTCAAGACTCCCAGCTCTGCTCCAGGTCTCTTTAGCAACAAGGAGAGGAACATTTCACACCTCCTTGGCTTAGCTGCCTGTCGGTTTCAGCTTCCCTGTCCGGCAGCCAATGGGGCAGGGGAGAAATGAGGTAGCAAAATTGGCTGCAGTAACGTGAACCTGCAGGGCTGCTTGGCAGGCACTTTCCCAGGCTTGGGGTGGCTTTGCTGGGTTCAGACCATCCCTCAGAGCTGTGTGAGTTCAGGATGCTTGTCAGGCACGCAGGGAGCTGCAGGTTGCCGTGGCTTCACCACTTGCTGCCATGTGACCTGGTGGTCAGTTTCATCATCTGACAAATATGGGGAATGAGCTTGACTCAGAAAGTCAAGTAGGTCCACTGTTTCGTGCAGCTGAGAGAGAGAACTATAAGATCAGAGGAGGGGCTGGGTGCAGTGGCTCACACCTGTAATCCCTGCACTTTGGGAGGCCAAGGTGGGCAGATCACCTGAGGTCAGGAGTTAAAGACCAGCCTGGCCGACATGGTGAAACCCCATCTCTATTAAAAATACAAAAATTAGCTGAGCCACGTGGTGGCACATGCCTGTAATCCCATCTACTCAGGAGGCTGAGGCAGGAGAATCACTTGAACCCGTGAGGCGGAGGTTGCAGTGAGCCGAGATCGCACCACCGTACTCCAGCCTGGACGACAGAGCGAGACTCCATCTCAAAAAAAAAAAAAGAGGCAGGGTCAGGACAGAGCTCCAAGGCATTGGGCCGGGTCCTGTGGGATGGGTAGCATGTCCCAGGGTGGACTGTGAACAGGTCATTCCAGGCAGGAGGAACAGTGAGCCAGGCTGGAGAAAGTGCAGCATGTGGCTGGGGTCAGGGGTTCGTCCCAGGGCAGGATTTGGGGGACATGGGAGCTATGGAGGGTTGCAGAGTGAGAAAGGACTCTGTCTCATCATTGCCACGCAGTTCTTTCTGAGCTGCCTCACTGTCCACTGCAGTGTGATCACCAGGAGACAAGGCTCTTCCTATTTTTCTAACTTCCTTGTTGAGATAGAATTCATATGCCGTGCACATCAGCACTGTGTGCTCATCACCAATGTCCAGAACATCTCCGTCACCGCCATCAGAAACCCCTGCTCCTGCACTAGCTGCCCCCCACCAGCCCCTGGCCACCACCGGGCTGTTTCCCTCTGTGTATTCACCTGTTCTGGACATTGTGTCAGCGGGTCCTACAAGTGGTCCTGCCTGGCTTCTTTCACTTAGCGTGTTTTCTCGTTAATCCAGGTCTTCATATTCATCTCAAGGTTTCCTGCCTTGATAGGTAGTGAGGTGATAGAGTGAG